GTGGGGCGGCGGAGGTTTCCAGCGGTTCGGTGCCGCCGGGCCCGCCTTGTGGCGGCGCCCCCTGACGGCGGGGCTGGGCGGGGCCCGCGTGGCTGAGGCGGGGGGGCTCGCGGGGTGCCCGCCATGAGCCGGCCGGAGGGGGAAGGCGGCGGCCTGCGAGTGAAGTTCGTGCCCGACGAGGAGGTCCTGAAGCACATTGCTGACGACCCAGGTACAGCCCTCCCGATGCTCCCGGGGCTCTGGGACAGGTGTCCGAGCAGCCGCGGCACCCTCAGGGAAGGCGGCCCTTCACCGACAGCCGGGGCGGGGGAGAGCCGTGGCCGGGCTGCGGGCAGGACGGCGCTTCCAGGGTCGTTCTCCTCTGACTGCCTCTTCCGCGGTTCGTTCCTGTCCCCGCCCCGGCACTGGAAGAGGGGCAGCCGCGGCGGGGTGGCCGGTGCCCGCCGCTGAAGGCGGTGTGGGTACTGCCCCTCCGTACCGGCCTCCCCTGGCTGACTCCCCAGCCCCTGACGCGGTTAAACACACCGAGAATCAAGCAAGGTTCAAGGTGGTTGTTTCAGGAGTCTTTTGCTGCGGTTTTAACTACTTTTTAAGGTTTGGAACCTCTGTGGAGCTGCTTAGAACTTGCCGGTACAAGGCACAGAGCATCCTGATCTGACTTCGCTGTTGGTTCTGCTTTGAGCAGGAGTTCAGACAGACGCTCTCCAGCGGTCTCTCAGCCTCAGTTCCCCCACGAGTGAACTGACAGCCCATAGGCCAGGTCCCCTTTGCCAGGGGAGACAGAGGATGCCAAATACCACCCCCTTTGCGTACAATTTGATACTTCTATATGTGAGTCAGTGTCATTTCTCCCAAACCGTGGAAGCTGGTGTGTGCTGAAATGGGGGTCTTGGCCTCATGGACTGCCGGGGCCAGCTTTTGTGGTAAAGGAGGGACTAATGGCTGTAGGGTCTAGGGCATAGACCAGCTATTCTTTTAGAGGGACATCTTTCTGGTGTTGTATTTGTTTAGTGATTTGCACAACAGGAACTTGGTCTCTAAATGGGGTAGCTGCATACTACTGCAATAGAAATAATGAAATAGCAGGAGGTTAAAGCTCTTATTGCAATCCTAGGTATTAAAGTTCGGAAGGACAAGACTCAGCTGACACTCAGTGTTAAAACGTTTGTGAAGAAACTTGAGGATATTTCAGACGATGAAGCTCAGGAGGTCCTGGAAGAGAAGAAATATGTTGCTGCTCTTGGAATAGGTACCCAAGGTATTGGCTGGGGAAAGCCTAACACAGCTGTGACTTCAGGATTCTTACAGTGTCAAGGTTGCACAGTGTTGATAAAATTGTTTTTGAGGGCTGACCAGTTTTAGCTATGCTTGTGGTAACAGAGGAGAGGATAATGATTCTAGAAATTTATATTTATTTTATTGTGTCTGCAATATAAAGAGTCCTTTGAGCCAAATAGTAAAATGTTGCATTCCATCTTCCTTGGGTTGGGAATATACCAGTATTTTTTAAGATAGCTACAAGTAACATTACTTTTCACAGATTCAATGCAAAATGGTTCAAGTGTAAGCGGTGGTGAAGTTTACTCATTCCAGACTCCCAAACGCGCCAGCAAAATGGCAGAGCTGGGTATGTTTTCCTCTTTCTTTCATTCTTGCTTTGGCTATGGTCTTTTTTTGACTGTTCTGTTAATGTGATTTGTCACTTCTTTTTATTCAAAAGATATGTTTGCTGTATTTCAATAGCTTTTATCTGGCTCTGAATGAATCTTTCTCAGAAACAAAAGCACAGGGCTAGGACAAAGCAAAGGCATGGTGGGGATAAGAAATAGAGATAATAAATAAACGCATAAGAAAAGTAGAAGTTTCTTGATGCTGGGAGAAAGTCTGTGTGTAAGTGCCAAAGGATGGCAGGGATTTTATTTGTGTAACTTAGAAGGATATGTGAATAAGTCATTATGTAGCAAAGAGTCAAAAAAAGGCAGTATTCCTTTGTGTGTCAGGGGATTTCTCCTACTCAAAAGTGTCTGCGCGTGCTTGCTAGGCTAACTGTGGACTTAGGAGAAGCGAGCAGAAAGTGGCAGTTCTGGAGGGGGTGGGCTGCTCTGGCTCAAATAAGATGCTCGAGCCCTGCTGCTACTATTTTTTTTCTCACTTGAAGGGCCTTTCTGTACCCAGCCCCACCTGAACTTCATTTGTGTTCAGCTGTGACAGCTACTGATATATCCTACAAAGGATGATCTAAGGGAGAGGGGTCATCATTCTGTATCACTATCCAGAAACTGTGATTTCCGTCCCTCTTTACTTTTCCTCTGGGCTGCTACTGTGTCTTGGAAATTTGTGTGATTCTTATACTTCATTCTGCAGCAGGGTAGGTTTCATTGGTGCTCCCTCCTGGAGCCATGACTCAGTTTGAAAACTGAGGCAAGTCATACAAAGGAAGGCTGGTTTTCTTGCGGGACTGTTAGCAGGATATGAGGGCCTTCCATATTCAGATCAGTGATTCAACCTCAGCTTGTGCTGGTAAGTAGTGGAAAGAGGTAAATCGGATACAAGAAACCACCTCCAGAGGAACTGATGTGTTTGCTATACGTGCTGCTTTACTTAAAGGACTGAGCATAATGAAATTGTGTGATTTGAAGACATGGTCTCCCAGGGAGAAAAGCATGCCTGAGCTATACTTGTAAAATTAATTAACTGAGGAGTTCAGTCTTTGAAAATCTTTGTTACGGATTACATTCACCATTAGGGTTAGAAAAAAAATGGAAGTATCTTGTGCACTTCCTGAAGTAGCTAGGAAATCAGTCCTTAGTGTTTCAGGTGTGTGGCTCCTTGGCTGACTGCTCAGAGCTGGGATTTTTGTAAATGTGAAACGTGTTTTTGACATGTGAAACTTCTTCCCTTCCCTCTATTTCCTACAGCCTCTGAATTAGCCCAGACACCAGGACAGAGTGTTGCACCTGAGCACGCCGAGTGCCCTGAGAAGACAGCCAAAACCCCTCAAAGCAGCAGTAAGTCCTGTAGTGCTTTGGGGAACTGAATCTGAGTGAGGGGGCGTTATGTTTCTGTTTGGGTGGTGAAGTACATGCTTGAGTGCCAGCTGCTGTCATGCTCGAGTATTCTAGTCAGCCTAACATTGTAGACTGAGCTGCTTGGTATGCATGGCTCTGGTTCACCTGAGTGGCAGTGCCCTGCTGATGTGGAGAAAACAGGAACTTCTCTCTCGTCTGTTGCTGTGACACTTAATGATTTCCTTTGTGTTCAACAGAAATGCTTGCACTTGAGTGAGTTATGAGCTGGGCTGATTTGTTGAACACCAAATGGGTAGAATTGTGTGAGTGCTCCTGTGTAAATTCACACTTCATTATATAATATTCAAGTACCCAATGCTGTAGGGAGAAATACAGGTGGGAGAAGTCAGTTCATGTCAATGCTGGCAAGAGCATGTTACTTTGTGCTCAGAAATGGAGTCTGGTGTGCTCAGGGATCAGACATTAGCTCATTTTTCAGCCTTTTCCCTCCTGATGACCTCTCAAAGCTGTGACCAGAATTAAAAGGTACCTTCTGTGCTAGTAACATTGACTGTCTTTGTTCTTTCCTTGCCTACCTGTGAGGAACTAGAGGGATTAAACACCCAGAACGCTGACATTTTGGTGCAGTGTAACTTTGAATAGTGAATGCCTGTTTTTTCTAATGGACCATCTGCTGTTGAAAATATGCAGTACTCTGAACCATGCTGTTTCTTGCTTTGCAGAACATTCAAGTTCAAACAAAGTGCAGCAGAAGGTGAGTGAGTTTTGAGGGGGGGGTGGGTTGGCGGGTTTTTTTTGGTTTGGTTGTTTTTTTCACTTTTAAAACTTGAACTGGCCAATTACTACAGTTCTGGAAAGAAAGGACCTTGGAAAGCCTCATCCACAGTACAGATGTCTCTCCTAATCCGACTAGTCAGGAGTAACTCAAGTGAGAACCAGGGCTTCTGTTGGTCAGGACTATGGGATTTAGAATCAGTGGGCAAATAGTGGCTTTGACAGCTTAATTAGGATGGGTGGAGACTATTTCTTTGCATCACACAAATGAGGATGTTAGACAATCCCTTAATATGCAGTTAAACTCATAGCTTTTCAGTTTCTTACCAAAGAAAGGAACAGTCTTAATTGTAAAGAGTGCTGTTAGAACAGGAATTTGAGAGCTGTTGTGCTGTTCAGTTTCATACTGTAGCATTGGTTTATAAAAAATAAATTGTGATAATGGGGGCTGTGTAAGTTGATGTGATCTTTTGTTATGCTGCAGAGAGATACAGTCCAGGACTGCCAGCTGTGTTGGTTATAAAGAGAGTGCTGTGAAACAGTTGGCTTTCTAAAATGGTATAGCATCATACTAGAAATGTTTGCACAGCTTTTCCAGTATAAGGTTCCAGGATGAGAGATGCCTGTAACAGATGCTGTTTTGGGATGCCATGTTCGCTCCTTGATGATTTCCCATCCACTTTGACAGGATTAAGAAAAATGTTTCCTAATTATTGCAGAGTTGATCTGGTGTCCGAGTCAGGCATGTGCTTTACACATATGTGAGGAATATGTACCACTACAACTTGATGAGCCCAGGCAGCTTGAGTCTCCTTTGCTGTACTTCTGGGTTTATTATTCTGAGTGGTCTTCCATCATTCTGGTAGTTGTTTTCGAAGTGGACCTCCAGATGAGTCGGAGTAGACAGTGTGAGGTGGAAAATGACTGCTCTGGAGATTCGAAGCATTTCTAGTTTGTCATTGCTTCAGTTTGACTCTTCCTAAAGGGCCAAGATTGGCATCTTGGTTGGAGATTTCACAGTTTTCTACCCTCCATCTCAGGATATTAGTTGAAAGAATTAAGCCCCTTTTGCAACCTCATCCTGCCCCACTCTAGCTCAGAATGACAAAACTAAGAATTCTCCATACTTACTGCCTTTGCTTTCCCAGTTTCTTGAGGGCTGAAATAGCTTGGAAATGTAACCTGATTCTACTCTTTGCTTGGCAGAGGGCTGTTTTGAAGAGTTATGTGTGTCGTCTTCTAATGCATGTTTTTTCTCTGCTGTTACAGAATGAAAAGAAAGAGTTTGTGTCTACTACACCTTACAGACTCAGAAAGAGGCTAGCAGGTAAGGATCAACCTTTGCAGTCAGCTCCCACAGTCGGTGAAGCACTGTGTTGAGAGGAAGATGTTTCTCCTGGTGGGCCTCTGCTTGTAGTAGCAGTCTGACTGAAGCAATCTGATCCTTCCTTCAGAGAATGTAGAAATGTCCTTAAGGAAGTCTGTGTAGACCTTTTCTCTACAACAGATTGCTACTTAGGTGTGATGGGGTGAGGGGAAGGTTTAGAAGCACCAAGTTGCTGAACTTGAGCAACACGATCAAAAGAGACAAAACTCTCAGTAATCTAACCTATGCTGACACTTAGGTTTGGCACAATTGCTTGAACCAAGTCATAAAACCTTTTAATGATGGCTGGGACATTCATGATAAAGTATTTCCAGTAACTGGTTGGCTCTATGTGCTCAGAACGAATGCAAAGGAGAGTTTTGTGACATTTTGTGTTCTAGTTCTTTTGTGTTGACTGAGCCAGATTCTGTCTGTGCTCTTCAACCAAGTTGCTAACAAAGGTCTTTTACAAAACTTTTCTTGCAGAGTGTGACCCAGAAGACACTCAGCTTGCATGATTGGTGTTTGGGAAAACTGATATAGAGATGCTAAGAGAAATAGGGAATTCCATTGTCCATTTTTAGTCACTTTTAATAGTAGGATTATGTTTCTTAATTGGTATTAAGGAGCAAGCTGTACTAAATAATTTGTGAGCCTAGAACTGGGAAAGAAAGGGCTATTTGCAGTCCTCTTAAGCATTGATTTTACTTCTCTGTGAAATATATTTAGGAATCATATGCTTGAAAAACATTTAGAGAATGTATAGGAGAGCAAGGTGGTGCGAAATGTGTTCTGTGTAAGAAGAAGTTGCTAGCTTTTAACCTTCAATTTATGCTCTAGCTCCAGATCTGTATTTAGAAAGTGAGAGTGAATATTCTGCTTCCTGCTCAGAGGAGGAAGAGGATGCGGAAGACCAGAAAGAAGTCAGCACTGTTTTATCAGGTCGAAAGACCCCAGCAAAAACTAAGGCTGCATCTACGCCTCCTCCCAGAAACACCCTAGCCAAAAAAATTAAAGAGAACAAGATGGTGAGTGTGTAGAAAATACAGCTAGCAAGCATGAAGCGATGTTTAGTGACAATAAGATGTCAGTGACCACACCTAACTATGGGGAAGAAGGGCTAGAATCATTTCAAATCAAACCAGCTGAATTGGCTTTTGCTGTACTTCTGAGCAATCCCTGTTTGACAGGCATCATGTCAGCCTGTGGGCTAATCCAGTCTGTATCCTCAGCAGCTCCAGAAGGGTAAGTTCTAAGATGTCCATGAAGGACACCTTGTATTGAGAAGGGATGAAGAAATTGAGTCCTATAGCACCAGCAGAAGCACACATTGCCTTCTGGCTTGGCATTCAACTTTGTTGTCCAATTTCCTTCCAGCACCAGGGGTCTCCACACCCCGTTAGAATTATTGCTGTGTCCTGCTCTCTCAGAATCTCTTTTCTGTCTCTGTCTTCAGGAAAGAACCATCTGACTAAACTAGCTTTCACAAAATGCTACTGTAGAAGCCATTTTTTGCAAATATCTTCTGGCTTTCTATTCATCCTTGCTCTGTGTCTCATATTGGCCATCTTCAGACATGTTTGTGGGTGCAAAGGGAGAGTGGTAACTTGATAGCAGGAAGAGTGTGGCTGATCTTGCTGTCCTTTTTTAGAGCAACCTGGTGGAGGAATACTTTGAAGCTCACAGTAGTTCCAAAGTGCTCACTTCGGACCGAACGCTGCAGAAGTTGCGGAAAAGAAAATTGGATCAGGTACGGTTCATAGTGAAGCACACAACTCTTGGAGCTTTTGATTTCTGTGATGAAGATTTCCCTCGTCAAAATTTCCTGGTGTTGCTATTTTCAATTTATTTCTGATGATTACATTCTCAGAAGTAACAATGATTTAGGTAGGATTTTAAGCATTGTCTCCTACTGCTGCTCTGAGCAGGGGCAGTGCCCAGTTGTTTGAACCTGAGACAGTAAGGAAAGTGCAGGGAGACAGCACTATCAGATGAACAGATTGTTGAAAACTGCAGTTACCAGAACAGCTTAAAGTTTGCTTTTCAGGGAAGAGAAAAGAGAGAAGCAGAGCTGTAGAGACCTCCCTTAAAATTATCACCAGAACAGCATTTTTGTCAATGAAATACTTAGGGGAATTACAAGCTGTCTTGACTATTTATGTGTAGAGGACATGGAAAGAGCCCTTTCCATTATGGGTCAAGGCACATGCAAGACTGGGACAGTTCTAAATGTTGTCACCTAGTTTGTGAAATGCACTTTGTCACCTTCCAGTTCCTTGGAGACAGGAACTGTCTAATTGTGGTGACTGAATTACTGGTTTTTTTTTCCATATGCCACTTCTACAAGACAGTTCAAAGCAAGCAGTGGCATCCTACAGAGACAGGTACACAAGGACAGGTGCCAGGAAAGCATGTAAAATACTTGGAGCTCTCATGTCTATGACTGCTTTTGCATGCATCTGTGTTTTAAATGATGGCATATATGCAGATTGCCTGGTACCTGCTGTTTTCTGGAATTGCTATCCAGAGAAACATCTGGATTCTTAACAAATTCTTTCATAACAGCTCTGGAAGGAAGTCACGACTTTCGCTGGCTCCAAAGAAACTGAAGGCTTAGCAGTTCTGTCTCTCAGTGGTTTATATCTGTCTGATACATTGCAGCTGTCTTTGTGCTCTTTCCAGAGCAAACTGTCTTCTACTTCAAGGGAGTGGAAAGCAAAGCTGTTAAAATTGAAGAGAAGGGAAGGCCAGTGTAGATTTGATGCAGTTTGTCATGCTCCTGTGCTGTTTAAACATCAACATCCCAGCATATCTTTGAAACTGAATTAATCCTTTGATTCTTGATGCTTTTGAAATAATACTTTTTCTCCATTTAGCTGTCAGGTGCAAATTATTTCCTTTCTGCTGTATTTCTTTTTTAAGATGATGTTTGCGAGCATTCTCTTGTAGTGACAAACACTTGAACCATTGCAAAGCATGTCGATTGGAGCCCTTGCTCCTGTGAGAAGGGTTGTGATGTTGTGACTTCCTGGTGCAGTGCTTGGCGCTGGAGAAGCTCTGACTGTGTCTGTTATTTCAGTAGTGGTGTTCTTTCCCACACTGAGCAAGAAGAGAGAAAACCTAGCCTGATATCAGTTCTTGTCCTAGTCTGGCTGCCATTTCCCATAATAAGGTTATTTAATCTCTTGTTTTGTTTCTCTAGTAGCAAAACTGTTCTTGGAGGGGTCTTCATGGGAAAAAAACATGAATTGAGTACACTGTTGGTGAAAACTATTCTGCTCCCTAGCTGCAGAGCATACTAGAGAGATATTTGTAAGAACTCCAGATTATGTGTCTTGTTTTTTCTCAGCTTTGAATGACTGTCATCTTACCTCTCTCAACATAGCAAACACTGCATGACCTTTTGAAAAAAGCTCCCCTTGCCTATGCTGCTGAAATTAAAGAGCTAAACGAGCAACACGAATCTCTGTTTTCCAAGTGGATGCTGCAATTACAGTAAGTATCCAATGAGAAGCACTGAAGAAGCCTAGTAAACGGGCACTGCCAGTAAATTTACCATCGTGTCAGCAACATCCTGTGGATGAGTTAAGAACTGATTTTTTTTTTTTTTTTTTGATTGATGGCTTAAATTTAAAACTAGGTGACATTAATTTAGTACAATGTTTCCTGTAGACCAAATCGTATCTGACTCCTTGAACTGAATGCCTGAAGTGAAATGAAGTTGCATTCTGCCTGGCTGCTTTGTCTGTGCCTCTGTAAACCAAGCTAGAGGGCATTCAAAAACAGGGAGCATGAATTAAAAGAAAATGGGGAACATGAATAATGAGAGAAGTGTCTGTTGTGAACAATCCGTTTTGCTTACAGCAGCATAGTTGGTAGTGAGTAGCCACCACCAGTTTCTTCAGTATGTGGCTATCCCAGTGGTGTAGCAGTTGAATGCCTGTGGTACCTAATGATCTATGCATGAAGAAACCTCAATGTTGTTGGAAATGGTAGCAGTATAAATTTTATCTGGGTTTACATGTATCTTCATGGGAAGGAGAAAAGAGTAAGCATCCAGGAAAGAAATGGGGAACTCCAGAGAGCTGTGAGATTCTGAAGTGCCTTAGAGAAGGCAAGTCACCAGCTCTGAAGTTAAGTGCTGAGGCAAGAGCAGATGTTGGTGAGGATAAAGCCCCTTGGAAGCTTTGCCAGGGAGTGGCATATAAAGACATTTGTGGTCCATGGGGAGTGACAGGACATACGAAAGAGACATTAGCTTTGAAAGCTGGAGGGTTGCAAGGGGAGGAGTTCTCAGTGATCTGGGCAAATTGTTAGAGATATGTGGCAGGGTAGAAGGAACAAATCCGTAGATGATACTGAAGTCAGTGACAGTTGTTGAACACCTTACTTTTGCCTAATGCTAGTTGGGTGACCTGATACTCTGCTTTCTAGTCAAGATGATGCTATTCCTGCGTCTCAAAAATTAACAGAACTTTGTGATTCCCTACCAGGATCTCTTTAGGCTTTCCTGCCTCTTTCTGTGTGGAACAATTAGGATGAGCAAGACATATGAGAGTAGTTGAATTTTGTTTTGAAATTGTGCTTGCTGATCAGACTAGAAAACCACTATGAAGGTTTGCTTTTTCTTTTGTAATTGCTGTGACCCATGGTAAACGTTAATATAATTGCTGGTGAGGGGTTAGGTGTGAATGCTGGTTACTCTTAATTGTCTGAAGTTGCAGATCTAGTATCATATTCTTGAACAACAGCAGTATCTTCTTAGATATTTTGCTAAGTCTGTGGCCCTCTAGGCTGCCAAAATGCTTCTTTTACTAGGATGCATGCACGTGCTACATTTCAGATTCCTTGCAGCTAAACTTCTTTGTCAGCTGTGAGCTGAAGGTAAGCCTGGAGTTGATGAAACATGAAATTTTTAGAGGCAAGATTGCAATGGATTATTTTGCTTAATGAATGTATGAACCTAAAAAGTGACTTTGATTTGGTGTATTTGCTCACTTTTCTGCAGCTTGGGTTTCAATATCGTGCTTTATGGACTGGGCTCAAAGCGTAATTTGTTAGAGAAGTTTCGTACCTCTGTGCTCCAGGATTCTGTTCACCTTGTGGTTAATGGATACTTCCCCAGCATCACTGTGAGATCTGTAAGTGTGGGAAAAGCTTATGGGTTTATCTAATCCTGTGTTACAGATACCTCTGAAGTCTTTCAATGCAAAATGTTAAGGAAACCTGCTACATCCTATAGCAGCAGACTCTTGAATGAAGAGCAGTTCCTATTTCTCTTTTAAGAGTTTAAAGAAATTATGTTCCAAGGAATTGCAGTAATTCCCGTCAGTAATAGATACTCATCAGTCTAAAGCCTTATTTTATGTCACTGTTCTGAGAAGAGGTAGAAAATTTTTTGTTTATGTTGACTGTTTTGGGGATTTGATGGTAAAAAATCAGATTACCTCCCTCATGACAGCGAAGGGCTCAGTTTCAGATTTTCTGCACGAGGTCCTTCAGTGCCATTGTCTTTTTCAGATTCTCAGCTCCATCACAGAGGAGGTACTGGACCATATAGGGACCTTCCGCAGCCCCCTTGACCAACTTGAATTCATCATTAAAAGGTTTAAAGAAGGTAAAATGACTAATTTTTACATAAAGATGTTAGAGTCCACATACTGTTAGGAGAGCCTGGACATTTTCTTTCCTCATATTTTTCACATTTACAGTTACAGTTTCTTAGTTTATTGTAGCTAGTATACTTTCTGGCTTGTAATTGATGTGATATATATGAAAACATGTATGCACCAGTCCTATATGTGTACATGATCCCAAGCTGTTACCTCAGTCAGTGTTTCACACACTAAGTTCTCTAGAAGGGGAAGGAGGAAGGCACTGGTATTCTAACAAGATAGAGGCTCCTCAGCCTTGACTTGTAATTGATGCCATATATATGTATGCACCAGTCCTATATGTATACATGATCCCAAGCTGTTACCTCAGTGTTTCATACACTAAGTTTTCTAGAAGGGGAAGGAGGAAGGCACCGGTATTCTAACAAGATAGAGGCTCCTCAGCCCTTCGGCAAACTGAAATACTCATCTCTCTTGCCTTTAGCACAGTGCCTTTGTGCTTTATTTCCATGGTGTTTCTGTAGCCATGTGTTTCCTGAAGGAAGACAGCACAGGTAGACTCCAGCTACATGAGGGAAGATGGTTCTTAGTGGCTGCTTGAGGACCTGATATAAACCTCACTGAAATCGGCAAAGAACTCGCAAACAATTTGGAATGACAGTTGCTGGCAGATATTAAGTCCTTTGAGCTCCTCTAGAAAATCATGGCCTGAGGCACTTGCCATAAATTTCACTATAGGCTGGATTAAGGCTTAAATGTACGTGGTTTAATGGAATGGTCATTCAAACTTAATATATGCAAATACTGACATTAAAATGAAATAAAAATCAACAAAGAACTCTCAAACAATTTGGAATGACAGTTGCTGACAGATATTAAGTCCTTTGAGCTCCTCTAGAAAATCATGGCCTGAGACACTTGCCATAAATTTCACTATAGGCTGGATTAAGGCTTAAATGTACGTGGTTTAATGGAATGGTCATTCAAACTTAATATATGCAAATACTGACATTAAAATGAAATAAAGGACAGCAGCGTCAAACAAGCAGGTTAGAATTGGGTTCAAAAGCAAAATTAAACAGGTATGGCCACACTAAATGCTTGCTGAATTACTTTTTAAGTGTCATTTTTACTGCTAGTGTATAGATACACAAATTGCCACGGAATCCTAATTGTGCATGGCATTGATGTTTGTTTACATTCTGTTTTCTGTCATTACCTTATGAGTGTTTCTGGTAGGACTAACTGGAAAAGGCAGATTAATGGCATAGCCACCTGAATCTACATAAATCAGTCTTGTGTAGTACACTATAGCTGATCAGACTGGGAGTCTGAGGTTTCCATTGGCAGCCAAGTATGTATTTAGTTGCACAAAATCTGGCTGCTGTTCCGGAATTTTTTGCTGGGATCAGGAAATAGCTGTTCCCATGGATAAGTACAGCAGTAACAAGCTAGTTGGAAATTTTAACATCAACTACTTGCATTATCCAAGCTAAGTCTTTGCAACGTCCTCTAAGGATTCAGTGGGAGAGATTTCTAGTGAGGTAAGTATGCTTTGGATCCAACCCTGAATATAAAATGCATTTTCATTGTGTGAGGAGGAGCTTAGGGATCCTAGCCATGTAACTCAAAAGCAGGTAAACAAACTGCTTAGACTTCCATCCTAAAATACATTTGAATGACCTTGAATTGCAGGACTAGAAGTCATAGCTATAAGGGCAGTTCCTGGTAAAGCCACTGCAAGCGGAAAGTGGATTATAGGAGAAAAGCTTTAACTGCAAAAAAAAATAAAAAATAGTAGCTGTGATGAGAACTGCAATACAGTGAATTCAGAAAAAGCCTTTTAGGTGCTCAGAAACACCAAGTGTGGGATAGAGATTGAAGTAAGCTGTACAAGGAAAGTGATTTGATATTGGAGTGATGAATATGGAGCCTGATAGGATAGACTTGTCCTGGGCTGCACTGGGAATGGGAAACCACTTTGTGTGCAGTTTCTTTGATTGGTTCTCTTCTGTTTTTTCTGACCTTGCAGATTCATCTTTAGAGCTCTATGTCCTCATTCATAACCTGGACAGCCAGATGTTGAGAGGAGAAAGAAGTCAGCAGATCCTTGCACAGTTATCCTCTCTGCCTAGCATTTACCTCATTGCCTCTATCGATCACATCAATGCTCCTCTGAGTGAGTTCCCTTGGGTCGGATGTAGCAAAGAGAGAAGAATCTCCGTTATATTTTGGGGCTGCTGAGCATGTTTCATAAGCTCATGTGTTACTGTTGAAGTGCAAAATAGACTGGTGATGTATGTATGGTGGCAGCAGCCAGAAGGCCCTATTGGGACTGTGGCTGTGTTGAACCAAAACTGTATAAAGATACTAAGAACTACTAGACTTTGATCATAATATACAAATAGACCTCAAGCTTCTGACACCCTTTGACTTAGGGGCTTACTGAAATGGAAAATGGATGTTATGTCTGTCATTTCATCTAAACAATTTTGTTTATCATCCAGAAATTCTTTGCACACTGCGAACTCTGGAAGGATTTACAGTATATCCATGAAGTTTGTATGAAAAAGGGGATGTGTGCAGATGTATTACTGCAGAGAATTTGTCTTGCTTGAACTGCATGTCTGGGTGTATGTACAGTGAATTTCACAAGCATGTTTTGCTTCCTCAAACCCTGCAGTAAGAACTAATTCTGTCTGCTCTTTTCTTTCTGTCTAGTGTGGGATCAGGCAAAGCTAAGCCTCTACAACTGGCTTTGGTATGAAACAACCACGTTTAGTCCTTATGTGGAAGAAACATCTTATGAGAACTCGCTTTTAGTACAGCAATCTGGATCTTTGGCTTTGAGCTCCATAACGCATGTCCTGCGCAGTCTCACTCTCAATGCCAGGTAAGACACTGTTATGCTTCATAGTAGCACTTGCTGAGGATCCAGTCCCTAGTGGTTTACTCTGGTCTCCACCTAGCAGGAGGCAGTTCCTGTTTTGTGATGACAATGTTCAAGAAGAAGATGGTAGGACCTGGGTTCCAACTGATTGGTTACTTTAAATGAACAGCGTTTGGATAACAAGCATTGTCCAGTGATGAGATTTATGCACAAAGTCCTGGTCATGAGGGAAAAGTCAGTTAATATTTTCTAAAGGTGGAGTTTTTGGTTTGGTGGTTTTGGTTTTTTTTCCTTTTGATTTTCCCCTCTCCTCCTCACGCTTAGGGGTATATTCAGACTGCTTGCTCAGTACCAGCTGGAGAACAAGGACAACCCATCTTATCCAGGTATGTGCACTCCTTTTCTTATCTGTTTGGGGTGCTGCCATCGCTAGCTCAGTCACAGTGGCGCTGGCTTTTGGTGTGCAGGCTGCATCACCAGCAACAGAAGCGCCGGGACTGTTGGCTCAGTGAGGCTGTGGTTTAGACTGTCGTCCTAGTGGTACTTACCTCTGTGCTCTGACAGGAGATCAATAGACTGGCTGGTTCTGGAGTAAGGACATCCTCTTACTGTTGTCTGCTTTGATGTTTAGAAATGACACACCATTCGTGTGGGAATGTGGACTTAAATTAATAAAATAAAGGAAGAATATGAATTTGCATAACTAGCACTTAAAGGACCAGACAAGGACAGGATATTCTGTTCCCATGCTACTCCTATTAAAGTGACTCCTGAAGTGTTCCTGCTTTTGAGGGTACATGTGAAATACTCTGTCAATGTCTCCGACGTGCTGCAGGATATAGGACCGACATGTCAATGGTAAAGAAAGTTGGAAGTAAGATAGAAAAGCTGGAAATGAAGAGAGATTAACTGTGGTGGGAAGTGCATTTAAAGTGCTTTTAAAGTTCTGTTAGGTAAACAGGATGACGAATGTTAATTCAGCTGTTTTCACTTAATTACTGAAATATTAGCTTGGCTGTATACTTGAAAGAAGCGATCGTGTTACTGTAGCCATTATGGTCTAAGCCAAAGCAAGATTTGTCGGTGGAGAGAACGTGTGTTGTTAGACCTGGAAAAATCTGGCAATCTTACTACTCTGATTTTTTTGTTCTTCTCTTTTTCCATCTCCAGGGCTTTCTTTCCAAGACTTCTACCAGCAGTGTCGGGAGGCTTTCCTTGTGAACAGTGACCTGACACTCAGGGCACAACTGACAGAATTCAGGGACCACAAGCTCATCCGGACCAAGCGGGTGAGTTGGGGGAAGACAGCAATTCTGGGTATTCAGCCACCTTGGAAAAAAAAGATGCTTACTTGCTACTAAGGCACCACTTTGCAGCTCATAGTGAGGCTCTGTTTGAAGCATCTAGGAACTAGCAAAGGGCTGAAATTCTGCAATTGCAGCTCTTTCCATGCCTCCAATTTGTCAACACCCTTTACATGGATAGGGGGCTGTAAAAACGCAGTGTGCTTTGGTCACTTATGAACCTACAGCTCTCTTCTTCCTGAAGACCTTAAGAAGTAACGAACTCTAGAGCCTGCCAGCCTGCTTCTAAGAGCTACCTGTGTTTGCAGGATGGAAGAATGCAGGCTAGTCCTAATAATGAGGGAGTATGGCTGTACTAGACACAGGAACACAGTGTTGAGGAGCTGTGTAGTGTCAGACTAGCATAGCCCACCAGATGACTTCTCATATACTGTCTTTTCTCAGTATTTGTGCATTTCCAGTGTTGCTTTGGTGAAATAATCCCTCTTTTTTAGTAATGTAGTCCTTCTGAATGCTGGCCAGCTCTCACCCAGGCTGTAAAGAAATGTTAGCATTGCAGTGCTGTTTAATGGTTTGTGTTGCACTGTGCACTGGTGGTAACAGAATGTGTATGCATGTCTGTTCTCAGGGAGCTGATGGTGTGGAGTACTTACTGATTCCTGTAGATGACAGTACCTTGACCGACTTCTTAGAGAAAGAGGATGAAGATGTATAATGCCTCTCTCTTTTCAAAGCATTTGCAGCAATTGCTCTCAAGGGCTTCTGAAGAGGGGTCTATACTCAGCTTGCTCTCCCTCTAACCACAAGGCTGCTGGACTACTTTCCGAAATGTAGTATTTGCAATGAATGGTGACCATTGTTCAACTACTTCAGGTAGTTTGGAATGATGACTTCTGTAAGCAAGGCATCTATTGCGCTGTAGTTAGATTTGTCTGCTTTGTCTCTTAGCTGAGATGATGCCTTTGTCATATCTATGCAGCTAACCTTACAGCCAGAGAAACAAACTTGGTAAGATTGTGCCTTCTGCTCTCTACCTCACCAGACATGAGGGTTTGATTGGAGCAGTTTACTGCAAATCACTAGATGGTCAGAGCTTTAGTTTGTACTAGCGGTGCAGCTTTTCTCAACAGAGTTCTTTCCAGCACGCCTTTACCAGTTAGACGAGACTAGTTTCCGGTGCATGAAGAAGCCAAGATTTATAATGCTAAGAGACCTGCCTTGACTGCATGGGGAAAGGAGAATACTAGTGGGTTTGGGACATTGTGGGTAACTTATTGAATTCTGGCAATACAACTGAAGGACTTGCTCCAAACCCAAATCCTTTTATAAGAAGATGCAGATAATCAAAATTGTGATGGACTCAAGTCATTGCCTGTTGGTAAGAGTGAGAAGATCCAGCTTCTTTCATCTACTTTCCAAATTGCAACCCAGGAATACGAAGAGGCTGCTTATTTTTTAAAAGCTTGATTGTATATATGTATTTTTTACATCAGGAGTGTCCACTGATCCTGGAGGAGGCCTTAAATGCCACTTATAAGCTCTCCCTTTTTTTGAGCCCTTAGAGGTTGGGAGGCAGCTGAAGTTTGACAGCTTTTCTTCACTTTTTTCTCAGGTATGTGGGAGTAAGCCCTATAGTTCCATCAACTGTAGTCTGCCAGCCAGACTTTGGGCACTCTGTATGTCTAATATTTGGTAGCTGTGTTACAGCTCAATGTTGTAATAGTTCAAATTGGTCAAATAAAGTACTTTATTAATTTTCATTAGCTTGTCTTGTCTTCCACAATCTTTTTATGCTATAGGAAGACAGAGATCCTAATTTTCATTATTATGTCAAATATCTCTGCAAATCCCCATGCAGCGTGCAGAATATTTCGAGCTAATTAGTAAAAATATTTTAAATTGTTTCTTATAAGGTATCAAAATGCAAAACAGTTTGCCTGCCTTTTAATACCAGTATATGGCTTTTGAAGAGATCCAAAACATCACATGGAATAATACTGTTACCTGCTCTGCCCCTCACTGACAGAAGTGGCAGAGGTTTACAGCCTGACTTTTCGTTTGTATTGAAAACACGGGATGTCTGCTTATCCCACTGACAATTATGGGACCTAATTGACTTTGCTGGAGAGTCTGATGGGGAAAACTGGTACATGGCAGCAGTACTCTGCAGCTTCCTCTCCCCCAACATTTTCCAACTAACATTCTCTTTTGGTGGCACTTGCATCTGTGTTTTGCAGGCTGAAATTCCCAAACTGCAAAATGCATCAGATCCTGCCCGTCACTACTTAGGCTACCGTCAGAACCACCAAAATAGGCTGAAGGCACAGTGTCTTACCCATGTTCTGTAAGTTAGGTGTAGAGTTCAAGAACAGTAACTCTGCCACTTGAAAAAATGTGTTGCTGGAGCAACTTAAAAAGTATTGTATCTAAGCAGCAACCACATCCTTTTTTGCAGTCCTTTGACTCTGCATAGTTCCTGTGAAATTCAGGATTTAATTTACATTCTGAGTACATATGGAAGATAGCATCTAATGTGTTTACAGATGGTGATACCATGGTGTGTTTTCAGTGCAATTATATCTAGTTTTCTAGATGTGAAATTTAGTTTAGCTAAGCGCTATAATCATCCTGAGTTTGGAGTTATCCACTAACAGTTTTTATAGACTACCAGCTGTCCATACAGGCCAAGGGGAGGGCTGCAGGAGATACACACATCTGCTAAAAGAAGGTAAGCTTAAATCAGTTCTTGGTGACTGCTGATTCTGTGATGCAAGCTAAAGAGAAATCACTGTGAATTAATTCCTGTGGGTTTTGTGTTAAAGGTATTTTATCCTGATTTCCTGTTGTTTCTGGACCACTACCCCATCTGCCATTAATTTTTTGTCTCAAATTCTGTGTACGTGCAAAGGCAGTAGCATTTTAATGTCTTGTGTAGCAATATAGAACTGTAGGCTTTGGAGGGGTCACTTCTACAGTCTTTTCCTTTACTTGGGAAAGAAGAAATTTCTCCCCACGTCTCAGCTCACTGAGAGGTCTTCATGGTATTGATAAGAATAATTGTTTTTGTATAGCCTCAGTAGCAGATAATACTGAACTCATCTCTTTCCACTTATATTTAAATGGAACAAGACATATGCAATTATGCAGTAGAGATATTGCTTGATGAGACAGTTTTATTAACTTAAAAGGATGGTGCTCAGATCTTTACAAATTTGCAATAGAAGTATTTTCATTTTGTTTAATTATTTTTCTGGTGTGCACATAATCCAGATATGGAAAGGTATGCAACTGGGAGATATTTTTTTTTCTTAAAAAATAAAGCCCATAATGAAAAGGCTAACTTAAAAAATAAAACCCAAGCATTGCCAGTGGTGAAAATGCTACTTGTTCAGTTTTAGTAATCCTGTCATTAAGACCCATAGTTATAGAAACTGTTCTTAAAAGAAAAGTAACAAAGGCACATTTAATTAATTCATTTACAGATTTGTTAAGGAATTAAGTTGTAACCCTCTAAAGCTTTTTTAATTGAGAGTCCCTGTCCTAAAAAGCTTTAAAGCTGCATTAATGTTACATTGTGCAATTGACTGCTAGTACCAAATACTTGAATTGTGTTCTCTATTTGCATATGAGTGGTGTCTTATAAAACTGATAATGCAAACGGGTGATCCACACCCTTTCATTAACTACTATCAGGAGATTTATTAGCTAAAATATCAGTGACTTGTACTGACTTGCCGTAACTGCAGAAGGATAGAACTGCTGTGTGAGCTTAAAACTGGAGATAAGACAGGTTTTTATATTTTACCCAACCCAATTCTTGAGTGTCATCATTATCAAATATATCTAATAAGAGCATGCAGTAACAGTAATTCAAGTGCAGCCCAGTTATTGAGTAAATCAGTCTTCTGTAGCCCAAAACAAGCATTTATTTATCTGACAGATGACAAAATACATCCCAATCTTTCAGGGAATATATAATACAATCATTCTGTACTGAACCAATTCAGAGCATCTCCATTGAGCTTGCAGTTGAATAGGTCTGTGCAAGATACCATGAAACCCTTGACTGAATTCTCTCACTCCTATTTTTTTTTCCTATGTGACCTGGAGGGGATCTCTATCTTTCTCAGACACAATTATGTTGATTTTGTTACGTAGGTGGGTAGCTAGCACGTCACGCAGCTCTGACAAGAAGCCTCGCTCGGTGTTACTGTGCTCACACAGAATAACACTTATCCCATTGGCAACTGCATCCAGAACGTCGTGGTGGGACATCTCTCCTGCCATTTTGAGAAAGAAATGGAATTCAGATCATTAATGGCACAGTTTAGGTAACCAGTTCTTTGCAGTGTATGCAGAGTCTTAGCTAGAAGCTGGGAAGTCCATAATGGGGAATGCAACACCACCTGCACTGTGTAAGAACACGGCACACTCCAGCTCTAGTGTCCCTTGAAGGACTTTCAGCTGATATCCCCCATATACAACTAAAACAAAACCAGAGAAATTCCTTACCCACTTCCAACAGTGGTAGATTTGGGCAAGAAATAAGAGTGGGCAGAGTGGTTTGGAAGTGGACTTGTCTGGATGTCACGTGGGTTGCTGCGATGGACGACAGCAATTGGGAAGCCTTGAGAAGAAGCTGTCTGAGGAGCAGCTCTGCATGGCTGTATGTAAGGGGGGGTGGTTGGGACATGCTTTGCCAAAGAACTTGCTCAAATTAAGTACTACAGAATGCAAGGCAGCCTTCACGTTGTTGAGCAAGGTGTAGGGAGCAACTGTCCCACTCTCAGAAAAGAGGATAATGGAATAAGTGTCCCTTTGGTCAGATACACCTTTGGAAGATTCTGTAGATTACATTATATTTCATTTTCAGTTAGGGAATTCTTTAGGGAGCTGAGGAAATACACTGAAGGTTGCAGTAGACTGCTATCAACACTGATTCTGTGTTGAAATAATCCATGAATAGCAATGTTTTAATTCAAATAACCTTAACTGTGCCACACAGCAATTTGATCCACATTATCTCTAGTTTAATGTTAGTCTTCTATCATTCCAATAACTAACTGATTGTTTCTCAATTGTAACAGGCAAATCTTTCTGGCCAAATCTTTCAACAGTCAACTCTTCTTTTTTCCATTTTATTTTTTTTCCTCCAGTGAGTATTTTTATAAAGATAAGGAAACAGCAAGATAATCTTTTACCTGTGAGATAGAGGTCAGCTTCTGTTCCCTTCAGGATGCTGCTCCCAGAACCAGCACACAAAGCAGCTTTCTTCACTGGTGATTCTGCAGGATACAAGGTGCCACAGTTGAACTCCTTTCCTTCTGTCCAGCCCTCATGTCAATATTGCTATTAATTGTTTCACAGTAACTACTACCTCAATTTTAGGGTCACTGGAAATTTGTTGGAGGAAGAGACACATCTGCCAGTTTGAAACAGTCATGGGCCCATAACATCTCTGATAATACAGCAAAATCCTCTGTGTATCAAACAGATGTGTAGGGTTTTTTTTTTTTCCCAAGGATTAGGAAAGTTTGCAGAAACCACAGCACGGAGACTGGCTACTGGCTAGTTCTCTCCCAGTGAGGTGTTATTTAGTGAGGTTTCTGAACCTTTTAATAGACTGCTGCTCTTTTCAGGACTCTAATGTTCCACTATCATTAGTTTTCCAACTAATGATACCACTACAGCAGCATTTTGCCTCAGATATACTGGCTCCTAACTGTTAGCTCTCAGAAGGCCAATCCCAATGCAAGCTGAGAGCTGCTCCATGCCATTAAAAATCTGTCTGTTTGCTGTGATTGCTGATTCCAAGCTATTACATGTGTGACAGCAACAGGAAATTTAATTCTCCATATCTGTTACATTCACTAGGGAGAGGGGACACATGACACAGAGCTTCCAAATTCTATTGAGGTTTTACAGTATGTTGCGATGTAATTACTGTTGATTTAAGTGAAGTCACACCATTACAATCCCGTACCATAATTGAGGGGCTTCAAAGTAGTTTGGGCTTTTTATAGTGCAACTGATAGTACAAGAGGCTTCTAATATGACTTCTGTCTCATAAGTTACAAAGAGTTCTCAACAAATTTGCTCTCACAAATTCCAGTAACTATGCTCCTTGGAGGTTAGGGTACGTAAATGGGATAAGAGGATGCTGCTCCACGTTTTACTAGTGACCCACTGTTTGAGCTAGGGTAGTTCAACACCTTTGCCACTATTCCTCTTTCATCAAAACACAGATGGTTACGTATTCATAAGGGTACCATAAAGTACCTTGGAAGTAAACCTATCCAAGGCAGCAGTATTTCACACATTCAAGCTCCTTGTCTTCCTGGAATACTAGTTCTAACAACAGTCTTGCTTGCAGGCCTGTTTACCTAGTGTCTTGCCCGTTCCCATGGCTAAGCGGACGTGGGGCAGCTTTAGGTGGCTTTTGATACGTGCAATTATGTCTGACAAGGGGACTGGCTCGCTCAGCGTGCACAGGCGTCCCATTCCGGTATGGGGAAGAGGAGGCTGAAAAGAAATTAAAATTAGTGTGAGAAAGCTGGCTCCAGAACTTCACGTTCCCTTCCGTACCGTACAAAGATGAGTACATTGGGCATTCAGAAGGATTGACTGTGAACTTTACTAAAAAAATATGCATGCTATGTTCTTGTATGTAACATACTAACTACACTAGCTATTGGAACTTATTTATGAATAGTACAGGCCACACAACTATTTTCATTGTTTTGGAAAACGTGTGTGGCTTCAAATCCCCACAGGCTGTTATTTCAGAGCACTGATGGGGTAGCCTAGGAAACCTGTGATGCTTCAGTGTTTATGACACTCAGCTCACATAAGTAATATATTCAGTGGAAGTAAGACACGATTTTGTTACCTTTTGTAATAAAAGAATCTCGGTCTTGTGATAAAGAAGGTTGTTCTGGGACAATAGTGCCACCACCTCCAACAGTGCTTTCTGAGAGCAGTTCAAACTGACTCGTGTTTGCTCCTCACCTTCAACCCTGAGGAAAGATATGCTTGGTACTTGCTAAGAAACTAAATACAATTTCAGCATCATATTAATATAAAACAAAGCTATTCTGTCCCAGTAGCTATTCTACCACAGAGAAAGGAGGAAAAGAAGGCATTGTAATAGCCTAGCCTAGTCTAGTTGACTCTCTTGGAATAAACAGATAGGGGAATTTAACTCAACTGTCCTCATCAAAGTTCCTATTAATACTCTTCTTTACCACCTCTAATCTATGTGATGCTACACTGAGTTGCTGTTACCACATAGTGTAACATAGATTGATCAGAAAGGGATGACTATTCCTATTAAGTTTCTAGATCTGTTGCTGAAAAAAAGGGCGGCAATGCATAGAGGAACAAAGTGATTACAACAGTAAAATACAATTCCAGTAACTTACTGTTTCAAACAATAGAAAGAGCACAACATTAGAGAACGAAGCAGATACCTGGCAGGGAGAGTAGTGAGACAGGAGATCTCTTGGATGTCTTTGATTTTGTTCAGCACCGTGTCCAGGTGCTCAGTGTTGTCTGCGCAGAATTCCACGCGGTGAGTGCCCTCGGCTGGATGGCTTGGCGCAGCTGACGGACGCAACGGGACGGAAGTACAGGCACCTGAGACAACAGTACAGTAAAGCTGGGTAAGTGTCCTAATACTGACTTAGCACGTATACTAAAGAGATTCAACAAAGATGCAAATTTTGCACATGAATCCATTTTCCCTCACCAGAACTGAGGACTTCTTGTCCTGTTGTCTCTATTAGGCACAGTCTCTTTTAAGTGCAAAGCTGTTGATGGATATATATTATTTGTCATTCCTAATGCGATCCATTTTATCCTAAGAATAGAATTGTACAAAACCAAAATAGTTTCTGGTTTGTAAACCAGGCTGGAAAAGACATAGCTGTTTCCATTTATGAGGCACAGTACACGATAAAAATTTAGAATAATTTCAGATATCTTAAGTAAGTCCTTTGCAAACAATGAGATCTTGCACTTTATAAATTAAAGGTGGTGATTAAAAGTCAGCCATCTAAACCTTGCAACCAAGGTGGATAATTAATGTGCTGCACTTGTTCCGACTACATCCAATAGTAGTCATACATCGGAAAACGTCCTCTAGTGTCTGTATCTGGTATTCCTCACCACGATAAATTCCCTAAAATATGTTTAGGGTACTTAGAAGTACTAGAACAATATTGGGGGAGGGGAAGTCCTCAAATCATACCTGTAAAAGCTGGAAGAAAGGAAAATGAGGGAAGGTTCCCCACGTAAAATGGCATACACTGATGAATAATTTTAACCTTTTCATTTGTTTGTTTTTAACAGAATCTCACCGAGTCCCTTTGTTAGCCAGTTGTTGACTCCATGAGGTATGGCATCGTATGCTGTATGCGGAGAGTAAATCCCGATTCTGTTCTCCAAGGCTCGGACCACCAGCCGTTCCTTCCAGGTCTTCCACGTTACTCGCTTGAGCGGCGTGAATATAGGAGGGTGGTAAGAAAGAATGAGGTCTGCCTTCTTCTGCACCGCCTCTTCCATCACCTCCTCGGTAAGATCGTTCGTGAGGAAAAGGGTGTTCACAGCGTGGGGAGGACTCGGTTCCACCAGCAACCCCACGTTGTCCCAGCTCTCGGCCAGAGAGAGGGATGCAAAGTCATTCAGGGCAGAAACGAGCTCCCTGAGATCCATGAGGGAGCGGGAGGGCGGGCGGCCCCAAGCACGGAGGCAGCGGAGAGGCCGGCGAAGCCGCTGGGTGGCCGGCAGCAGCATGCACCGATCTGTAGGGAGGGCGAAAAACGGGCAGGAATGAGCCTGGGGGAGCCACCGGCGGGAACAGCGCGGGTAAGAGCGGTCCGGCTGCGGACGGCGCCCCGCTGGGAGAGGGGAGCGCGGCGCGGCGGGCAGGCCCGCCCTGCCCCCGGGGAGAATCGCCACACGTTAAAACCGACCCGCGGAATCCAACCAGAGAAGCCTCCGCCTCTCGGAGGGGAAGCAAGCGGGACCGGGACGGGCAGCCTCGCGGCACCGCCAGCGACCACCGGGATCCCGCACTCACCTCACTCCGCGGCAGGAACAAGGCCGGGGCTGCGGGGCGGAGCCTACGCCCGACCTCGACGCTTCCGCCGCGCTGGCGGGGCTGGGGGCGGCCTCTCCGGGGGTGAGCTGCGGCGGGAGCGGCCCAGCCCCTTCCTGCCCGCCTGAGGGGAGCCGCTTCCCGGTGGCGGGCGCTGGGCTCGGGACCGGCTCCGTCTCTGTCAGGTTAGTGCGAGGCCTCCGTGTGGCCGGGGGAGGGTGAAGGCTCCGGGGCGGCGCGGGAAGGCCGAGCTGGCGGCGGCGGGGAGGGCGGGATCCCCGGGCGGAGCCGGTTGCCGGTGGAGGGGCCGGACGGGCCCCCGCAGCCGTGGGGAGCGGTGGGTTCGGCGCGTCCTGGGCGTGGGGCTTCGGTGGAAGTACCTCAGGTCGGCTGAAAAGGAGTGGTGTCTCCAGGCCGTTGTTGGTCACACAGGAGCCGAAGGCGGCCCTCGGGGTGCTGAAGCGGGGCCGTGGCAGGCTGCGGGCCGGGGTGAGGGGGGCCGGGCCGGGGCTGGCTGCGGGCGGGCTCCCCGGCTGGGGTGAGAGGCCTGGGGGCTGAGCGGGGAGGGCGGTATACAGAGGAGAAATTAGCGCACACAGCTGCCGTTTTATTACCGTCATTCCACATGCTTCATTTGAAAATATTACTAGATCTTGCGCTTGGTTGCAGGTATCTGACAGCTGCCAGAGGGTGGCTCCAAATCATACTTCCATTTAGGCACTGGCGTGTTTTTTCTCTCTTAATTTCTGCCATTTATAAACCCGTAATCTTTGGAAAAGCTGTGGTTGCTCAGCATAAACTTTAATCTTGGGAAAGGGTGGGCTTTTTTCCTCAACTCCTTTCTCAAAGCTATTTTCTTCTAGTCCTGTCTAGTTCTTTATATGCTGTGTAGTTCCATAATGCAAGTAAAATGTTTATCTAGAGTCCCTTGAATGGCACTGTAAAACCGTGTGATGCAAAAGCATATAACCACACAAATATTTTACAATCAAAAAGAATTGGGGATTGGTGGGAAAAAACCCAACAAATTTCATATGTTTTCTTTGCAGGAGAGTGCTGTATACAAATCTACCTCAGCTTTTTCATAAGCAGACATGGTGAGAACAAAAGCGCTTTTTATATATCTTTCTTTGGTTTTGAAATTTTCATGTCTTGGAAAGTGAATAGCTGCTCTGCTTCATGAAGGACTACAGAGTTTACTCTGATGCTGTGAAGAATTTGTAAAGAGAAGTTTAGGTTTTCATTTCAGACTTCTAACAAGATACTGTGAAAAGAAAAATAGGTCAATTTACATCAGTCTAAAGTATAATTACACTTTCACTTCTAAGATACTAAATTTTAATCCTACTTTGGCTAATATTTGGTAATCTAGCTTGGTTTCTTTTACCACAGAAGCATTATTCAAGTTGCAAGCACATAGCCCTGCTTGAGGGTATGAAACCTTCTACACTTGCAGGCTTTTAAAAATCTAGCAAATCAGGAAATAGAGATACGACTGTGTGTCCTAAAACTGTACATACACCTTCTATAACATCTTCATGGATGTTACAGGCAGCTATCTTCTCTTCTCTTAGCAGCAGCTATCTTCTCTTCTTTACTTCTGTAACAGTATGCAAGTATCAACATGATTCTGATTTTTTTCCTATACGCTTGTCCCCACTGTAATTGTTTTTGCATAATTTAGCACTTTCCATGGAAGCACTGTGATATATTTGGCCTATAGAGATATATTTGCTTAGGTGGCTGGATAACTGCCGTTTAAAATTTTATGCAGGTTATTTATATATTCTTAAAAGTGTGTAATTTTGTGGATTTGCTTGTTTGTGAAGGCAGATTATGTACAGTGCCATTCAGAATTAGCCTTATCACTCAGAAGGCTGCAGGCAAGTAGCACACATCAGTTGCTCCTCTGGTTGTAAAGCAGTGAGGTATGTGCACCACGCTATCATCTGAAATAGGTATAACCTTGATTCTTCAACTTTGCAATTAAGTGACTGAGTAGGTCCAGTTTGCAAATAAATAATGTAACTCTGGAGTGTAGCAGCATGAAACAGAGCTGCTGCATTACCATGGCAAACTTGATTTGTCCTGAAACTAAATGAAACCAAATGTTTTCTGATTATTTCACTGGAAACGTGGAAGGTTTGTGACAGCAGCCTTGCCTATGGCCAAATGTTGAAACAATGATGATTTGCAGTGGGAATTTGCTTATGTTCTTGGTGGGACTGGGAAATAAAACTGAGTCTGCTAGTATTTCATTGCTGATTTAATTATTATTTGCTTCTTTCTCAGGCTGTTACACTGCATACTGATGTTGGAGATATTAAAATTGAACTATTCTGTGAGCGTACACCAAAGACTTCTGAAGTAAGTCATGTAACAGGAGCAGGATTGCCTGGGGTTGAAACAAAGCGGTAGAAATAGTGAAGACTGTAGAGGAGGTGAAGTGGCTTTTGCAATTCATCTTTTCACGTAATGGAATACTAACATTTTACGCTGGTATAGTGCCTATTCTGCTCATGGAACTTGTGCACTGTATCGTGCTGCCTAGAGCTTTGCTACCTTTTTCTTATCAGATAAGGTTTAGCTAAGGGCTGCTTCTCTCCAAGTTCCAGCATCTCCCAAAGTGCCCTTTATCCTTAAGGGGAAATATGGCACATGGCCTGGGATTCCCAAATTTCCCTGGCTTTGCTCACACTCACACAGATTTGATTTTAATTTAAGAGAGTGAGAATCACTCCTAGTTTGTCAGAAGCCTCAGGTTTTCCTTGCTGCAATAAACTTAAGCATGAATTGAAACAATTTACTTTGTAACTAACAAAGCTGAGGAATGAAGTTACTGATTGCAATATTACGTTTACAAAATGTTGAATGGAAGTGATACTTCTAAGCTCATCTCAGGCTTCTTGTTTGTCAGACAACCTTGTGCTGTAAGCTTTATTTAAAATCTTTTGTATCTGTGACAGTGCCAAAGGAGCATATTAACTATAATTTATTTATTATTATTCTGTGGCAATACTCTGTGGAATTCACATGGTCATAATGCAAAGCAGAGGCAAAAGAGTTAGGCTTTTTAGTGTGTCATTTTAGTAAGAGGATGGTATTTCTGAATTGCCTGTTAATGTTTTGTTTCATTTCCTTAGAATTTCCTGGCTCTTTGTGCTAGTAACTACTACAATGGATGTATATTTCACCGGAATATAAAGGGCTTCATGGTTCAGACAGGGGATCCATTAGGTAAGTTCTTTTGTTTTGGTCTCTCTATAGAAAAATGTACATAGAAATAAAATATAAAGAAAATATAAAGAAATAAAAGGAAGTTATAAGTATGAAGATTAAAAAAACAAAATGTAAATAAAGTAAAATAAAATATAAGAATTATTATATTGTTGATAGAGGTTTGTATGATGTGATTAGTTTTCTGTGGTGAATTTACAGAAAAGCAGCTGTTACCCTAATTCTAAATAATCATAAGTGGTAAAGCATTCTGCAAACTTCATTTTTTTTTTTTCCAGCAGTTTCCACTATATGTGATGGTTCTATGGTTCTGCTGACTTACTAGCTGTTGAACAAGTAACAGTTGCTACTGTAGTTTCTCTGGTTTCTGCCTGAAAGGCTAAACTATCTCTAAAGCATTTGGGGAAAATGTCCCAGAGAGTGTTAACTGTTTGGGAGAAAATCTGATTAAGCTATGTGTCTGTCTGTACTCAAACTGAATTTAATTTGAGGGCATGTCAGTATTTTGTTCTGCAACTTAATAGGTGTTTCTTGTCTAGAGTTTTGTCTCTGCTTGGTATCAAGACATGAGAACCTGATCCCTGCCTCAAACGGCTTACAGGCTATCTAAGGTCTTTGTTGTATGATGTTATAACAGCACATCATTTTTGGATTTTTCAGTCTGAAAAACTAGTAATCTATTATTGTAATCTATTGTGGTTCTTCTTTGTCAGGCACTGGGAAAGGAGGTAACAGCATCTGGGGCAAGAAGTTTGAAGATGAATTCAGTGAATACCTGAAGGTATTTCTGTGCTCTCAATATGTTTTCATATGAATTTTCTTTATAGGTTGGAGAATAATCAGCATTGTGTTGTACTGTATTAAACACCTCTTTTGTAATTGTGAAGAAAAGTATAATCCCACAATAAAGGGATAGAAACCTCATTAAGATAGAAACAGGTGTTTCTGTTCTTGGCAAGTTAGGTTTGGGGGTTTTCATCACTGAGAACAGAAGTAGAAAGAATTTGTAACAAAGTGTTTTTCATATACTGCAAACAAGCAATTGTTTGTTGTAAGAGCAATTTTGAGGAGCCAGATGGAATATATTAGCAACCAAGTTTTGATCTTAATAATGGTATTGAGGCAGAATACCAAGTCACAGGGTACTTTGTACAGGTTAAAGTCCTGCCTTCCCTGACGTGTATTCATGTTGAGGTTTTTCCCCTCTTTCAGCACAGCGTCCGTGGGGTGGTTTCAATGGCAAACAACGGTCCAAATACCAACGGATCACAGTTCTTCATCACGTACGGCAAGCAACCGCACCTAGACATGAAGTACACTGTGTTTGGAAAGTAAGTGATCCAACTGTCTGCTTCCTTATCATAGTGTGTGAAGGATCTGAGTATTTCAGGGCACGTGCAACGCAAATCTAGAAGCATCTGGTCCTAAAACTCTTTAAAATGTTGGATGTCTATAATGTGAATGTATGCTCCTGCAATTTCACCAGAATCAGTTGCTCTATAATACTACTCCCTTTTTCTTAGTAGTAGGGTATTCAGTGGAAATAGGCATGTTAAAAATTACCTTAAGAATGGAACTTTTTTTGTCCTTCCTTTCTCTCTTTTTCTGGTCTCTTTTTCTGGTCTCTTCTTCTTTTCCTTGCCCCTCCTTCCCCCCCAGGTTGTTCCAGCTTGCCTTTTCATCCATGCCCAAACAGATGCAGCCTGGTTTTAAGCAAGCTCCTTTACAACTGGATACACAGTTGTAGGGTTTACTGAAAGGCATGAATCTGATTTGGGACTGGATGTGGGGATGGGTGTGGTACTGACGTGGTCAAGTACATCATCCTTAGAGCAAATGAGTCTTTCAGATACTGCTTTTTCTATCTCAAAATCATGGTAATGACTTTTCTTTTGCTTGTTGTTACAAAGTCTCTAGCGTACAAGTGAATTTGCAGAGAAAAAATTGTCTTTATTAAATGGAGTTAAATATTCAAAGGAAACTATTGAAATGTTAAAATACTGTTTTCTGCTGCTTGTATTGTTTATAGGCATCTAACTATAGGTGTTCCTTTCGTTTCTGAGTTTGTTAGAAGTGTGATTGGAAGTCATTTTTTTTAGGCATGTTTCTTGGAAAAGAGTAGAGGCTCTGCACAGATGAATTTTGCAAGGTTTTCTGTGGCAGTTTAAGGTACTCCTGCCCCAGTTGCAGAATGAGCAGAACAGCATATGCAGTCCCTGCTGGCACACAATCCAGCATCCTAGATTCAAGGAGCTGATGAATGTGACTGAACTGTGAATAGTACAACATGTTTTCTGCCCAGTCCATTACGGGGAAATAAACTGTCAAGATTTACCAGAGCTAGTTATTTAAACAAAAAAAAAAAGAAGTAAGAGGTTTATTAGAACAATCTCTATTGCCACTTCTGCAGCCTGAAAGGAAATCTGAAAGCCTAAACATATTTGTGTCATTAGATTTACACAGTTAGTAATGATTCTGTCCAATCTTGTCTTTGAGCCAGAAGGTTAGAAATTATAATCTCACATTGAGAAACGGATTTTCCAGCCATAGGATTTCAGTAATTCATTGGGAAGTTTGGTATGGCCAGCATCTTGCTGCTCCTTAAACTTACACTATGATTGGCCAGTCCTGTCTGCCAGGAAATGCAGCCAGGGTCTTTATACAGCTACGGTTGGTATAAAATATGATACTGTCAGGTCAGTGTGAATTATTTGTAATTTTTATCAGAGTCTGTCATGGATGCTTAGTATTTCCTTTGAAAATACATTATATGCCATATATAATGTTATGGCTGTCTTATTTGTATCATTTGCTTGCAAAGTCCTTGTCCTACACTACTTAACTGTAAAGTGCTTTGAGATATCTGAGTTGTGAAATTTAAATTGTTATTAGAAGGATATTCCTAGCACTTCTGCTTTTCTTCCAGAGTTATTGATGGCTTGGAGACCCTGGATGAGCTGGAGAAGCTGCCTGTGAATGAGAAAACCTACCGACCTCTTAATGATGTTCGCATTAAAGATATTACTATTCATGCCAACCCTTTTGCTCTGTAGCCACAGAGCGCCTCGACACATTCTTGAGACTGGTCAGACCGACTGCTGGATGATGGGGTTTAAAGTGTCATTAAAAAGGGTTATTTGAGCTGAATCATACCTTTGCTCATTGAATGCAGGATTTTCAGGAGTTGTGGCATTGTTTGGGAGCTGTCACAGTGGAATCTTACGCTTTCGAAGACAGCTTTTCCCAAGCATCTTCCAGGATTTTGATTTTTAAACATTGCTTTTTATACTTGTATAATAAGAAAATACTTTAAAAAATATATATTTTTTTGCAAATCTTTGTTTTCTGACTTATTTTTCTTAGTGATACTATCTTGAAACAATGTCCTTTGCTACAGTTTCATACTCCCAGTTTTCTGAAACTATCTCATGTAAATTCTAACCTTCCTTACTTCACTGGTTTTTAGAAAACTGAGTAAGATATGCAATTTTTTTCCTCTAGGTGAGAGCAGTGTCATAGATAGGTGAAACCTTTCTCTCCTGGAGGATCGGAGACTATGTTTAGAGGAGTGCTTGCTCTTGTACTGCTGTGTTGGAATGGTATCCTCTTCAGCCTCCCCAAAAGGTAGATTGGAAACAATCACTTCTGCCTCTGGAACAACACTTCTGGTATGAAGGAGTAAATATTTGTGTCTTTACATAGCTGTTGATTGAATTAAGTAACCATGGATTTACTGTAACTTATTTTTCATCACTTTATTGCATAAACAATAGGGGGTGAGCACAATGAAGAGTAGTGATTAAAAACCCTGTGGTCAGACTTCTAAACAAGAATATCCTGATACACCCAAAATAATAAAAGATACTGTGGCCAAAATTATGTTGAACAAATGAGGGAGAGTTGTTCATTGGTCTTATTTGAGACCAAATGTTGTTGAACTTTAATTAGAAAGTCTGCAAGAAGGTACAGAGGTACCTGAATAGTCAAGAGGAAAAATAAAATATGCATACATATGCATGTGCATATGTATGTGTATATATATTGCTAATCCTTCCTAGGCTGATCCTATATCAGCTCAAGTAATTTAGTATCCTAAGCATAAAATAAACTGACTTAAGCAGGGAAAAGAGAGTGATTTTTTTACAAACCAAAAAAAGCAGTTCTCTACATTGGGCATACTGGGAAAAGCAGAATGTTCTACTCTTCCTTGTGGTAGATTTAAAAAATGCATTTTGGAATCAGTTTGTTTTCATAGAGCAAGAAAAAATCAACTCATTTCCACATAAGTTGTTCACTTTCTGACTCTCAAATATGTGGAGGTGAGAGTATATATTTCCAGTTGCAACTGTGCATGGGAGACCTGGACAGGAGAGAGTACCCACAGTTCCTGCAACCATCTCCTACCATTCTGGACTTCTTCCCCAAATACTCCTTGGACTCACTCAGCATCACTTAGTGAAGTCCATTCTCATATATATGCTCTTAACCCTTGGGAGATCCAGGTCCAGCTGACTAGCAGTCTGCTTCAGACCAGTATTTCCCATTTTGAGACTTTGCCTCTTAAAAGAAAGAGAACTTATTTGCAAGAGAAAGGCAAGGCCAGGTACAGATTACTGAGCGTTAATGAGCAAAGTTAATCAGTACCCTCTTTCTGGGACAAAGTTTCTATATTCTGTATGAAGTGTTGCTTAAAGCTCCTAGCCCTTGCTTCTGACTTAGTACATTTTACCATAATACCTTGATCATTCACGTAAAGGATTTAATTATTTTAGCTCTGTGCTCTTTCTATCTCTTCGCTATAACCAGTGGTAATAGCAGGTAGGCAGAAGCACACAGCTGCACGTTTGGCTGCTGCACTGACACTACTGCCATGCGGAAGGATGGACCTAATGGAAACTTTCCTACAGTGCAAAGGAACCAATAATTTAAAATGCTGACATCTAGCACTGAACTGGAAACAATTCAAGGTCTATGTTTTTTGGTTTTTTTTCTCCACAAAAAGGAAGCTGTTATATATAATATGTGGAGCATGGGGACCCAAGCAATTTGCTCTCTGGAGAATACATCAAATTTAGATTTTTTTTTTTTTTTTTTTTTTTTTTTTTTTTTTTTTTTTTTTTTTTTTTAAAACTAAAACTGTGTATTGGAAGGAGAGTGATCTCATTGGACAGGATTACTTCCTAACTTTTTAAAATTGTATTTTGTCTATTTACTTGTTTGTGGCTCTGAACACCTCCCAGGTTCTCCCTGAGAACCTGGAATACAACAGGAAAAATAATGGTGGGGTTGGTCCCATCCACTTGTTGAAGAGCAAGCAAGATGGAGAGCAGGGAGCGGGGCAGCTGTGGAAGTGTGTGATTTTGTGGGCTGTTGCTGGGTTGTAATTTAGTTCTGGCAGACAGTCAGCTGTTGTGTCACCAGCTGTTTGGACTTTTGTGACGTATAATCCTTTAAATAGCAAAAATCTTGCAGACAGTACTGTTCTTATTGTTATCAACTTGTGCTTTACGAACTCCTCTCTTTGCTTCCATCACTCTTGTCCTGTATCACAAACCTTACAGCCACAAGGTGAGTTCTGTCAAAATACATCTATCCGTGCAAAGAAAAATGTGTATGTTAACACAACAGTCTTGGTGTGATGATGACTGTGATGGAGGTTCTCATCACGTATATTCTAGATTGTCTCTGACCTCTGCTGGCATTAGAAAAACAATAGGTAAAGTGGGTGTTAGAAGTATGTCAAGCTGGAGAGCAATGGACAGGAAGAAAATAATGGTGTGTTATCCATGGACAAATTTGCACGTGTAATGTAGATGTATGTTGGTCACAGGGTCAGTTGGGGAAATAAATTTTAAAAAATACAGAATGAGGAGGCTTATTTATCATGGGTGGAAGTGTTTTAGAAAGTTTAGTCCTTCCCAGAATAAAACAAAAACCCTATTGTTTTTTAGGGAACTGATCCGGTTAGGCTGTTGTAGTGTTTCAGGACTGTTTTATCCTCAGATGTTCTTTTTTCCACATAAATTAGATTGCATGTGAGAATTTTGACTGCTGCTTATGGCTTTTGGAGAACCAGATTTCAGGCATAATGCTTGGTTAGCTCTGCTGAGGTGACAACTGATAGATGGCTGACAGGCTGGAAAGGTCCTTCTGAGAGAGGTGGTGGCCAAAGGGCTGCAGCGAGGCACGGGGTAGCCGTGACTTCGACTGCCATGTGTGCCCTAGCAGTGAGCAGCAGAGGAAAAGAAGGTTAGTTCTGTGGGAGTGTTACCGCAAACCAGCAGATAAAACTTTCTAAGACTCAATTTAAAGTTTAGAAAGCAGGTATTCTTTATTGCAGCACTGGATGCACAGGGGATAGCTCCTCCGAATCTGTTGTATATAAATTTAATTTGACACCAGTATATGCATATTCAATGTAATGCCAAGAAAACATTAGCCTATTCATTACATTTCTGAGGTTTCATTTACATATTATAATAAGCCTTTGGGCATGCGTAGTTGTGCCTTCTGGTGGTCCTCATTTTGAGTGAGGGCACTGGATGCACAGGGGATAGCTCCTCCGAATCTGTTGTATATAAATTTAATTTGACAACAGTATATGCATATTCAATGTAATGCCAAGAAAACATTAGCCTACTTATTACATTTCTGAGGATTCATTTACATATTATAATAAGCCTTTGGGCATGCGTAGTTGTGCCTTCTGGTGGTCCTCATTTTGAGTGAGGGTCATTTCTTCCTCCATCTTCTTCACCTGTCCTTTGGCTCACTTTTCATGTTGGCAAAACATTCTAACTGCTTAAGTGCTCATTAAAACTAATGCTTACCACCTGTTTGTCAGACAATGTAACTTATTACATTTCTGAGGATTCATTTACATATTATAATAAGCCTTTGGGCATGCGTAGTTGTGCCTTCTGGTGGTCCTCATTTTGAGTGAGGGTCATTTCTTCCTCCATCTTCTTCACCTGTCCTTTGGCTCACTTTTCATGTTGGCAAAACATTCTAACTGCTTAAGTGCTCATTAAAACTAATGCTTACCACCTGTTTGTCAGACAATGTATATATTTTTGCATCCTTGTCTTAGGTCACCATGTTCTCAGGGCCAAATACATCCTTTCTTATCTTACTAAGGCCTTGAAACCATTTGGGATGGTTGCTAAAATAGCTACATTCTTCTCTAAAAGAAGGTTCTCTACAGTTTAATCACTTATAAACTACATAAAATCTGCCTTAGGTATCAGGAGGTGTTTGGTTTGGGGTTTTTTTTGGGTTTGTGGTGTTGGTTTTTTTTTTCATTCTGTGGGTGAAGAGTGACCTCTACACGTACTTGAAGAGTTGCATTTCATTTGTTTGGTTTATGGTGGGATTTGTGTTCTCTCCAGACTTGAAAACCTGACTGTAAGCTCGTAAAAGGTACCAGGAGACTACTTGGAAATGTTTTTAATGCCAGTGGTTGTTACAAAGATATTTTTGTCAGTCATACGTGGCTTCAAACCTCTCCTGATTTAAAGCTGTGTCTATGTGCTTTGAGAGCCTCTAACACTGTCTAGGGAAGAGATGGAGAGAAATAATGAGCTTTATCACCGAGGGTGAAAAATTATGGTTTAGCAATTAAGAATCTCATGGGGGGGGAAGCAATCTTCTAACAGTCGTTCTTAAATGAGGGTGGGAATTTATTTATTTATTTATTCATTTACTGCGTCGCTGGTTTCCCTACATAAAACTACTTTAACGGAATCACAAGAGGAGGCATCCGGGGCTGCCGTAAAGTGTCGTGACCGGGTGAAGCGCACCTGTACGGGCCCGGCCGGGGGCTGCGCGCCGAGGGGAGGGGAGGGGAACGCACCGCTCCGGGCGCTGCCCGCCCGTCCGTCCGTCCCCGCCGAAGGGGCGGCGGTGCTCGGGGTGGCCGGAGCCGGTATCCTTACCCGCTCCCGGTGGACGGCACCACCTCGGGGTTGACGAGGCCGCCGCCCGCCCAGCCCTGCCCTGCTGGCGCGTGCCCGCACCGCGGGGGCGGGGGGGGGGGGGCGGCGGCGGGGGAGGCCCCTCTGACGTGCCGCCGCGCGTCCAGAAAGTTCCTGGGGCCGCCATTTTGTAGCGGGCTTGCGGGTGCGAGGGGCGCCGCTGGGCCCGGTTATGGCGGGAGAGAGCAGCGGCTCCCGGAGAGAACGGCGGCGCTCCCGAGGCGCGGAGGTGGGGTCCAGGGGAGGGGCGCTGCCGGCCGCCCCGCGCCGCCGGCGGGAGGGCTGACAACGCTGGGCGCTGGGCTGGGCCGCTGCCAGAGGGAAGGCGGGGCGGAGGGAAGGGCGCCGCCGCGGTGCGGGGG